CCTTGGGCAGATCCATCCGCACACAGCGAACCACCTCCAGCTGCTCCCCCACGCTGAGGGCGGGCAGACCCTCCTCCTCAAACTCCTCACAGTTCCTCGTTACGCTCACCTTCAGACCTGGAGCCTGAGACGAAGCCACGAAGAGTTCGTACACACAGCTGAACTCTCTCGGCTGTCTACGGAATCGTCCACCGTACTGGTGAGACAGCAGGAAGTACTGCTGGGCCTTGCGGAACTTTGCGGTGGACAAAAGGACCATGGGTGTGGTTTCCACTCTGTGGAAGATCAGGCGCTCCCTCTTGGAGAGTTCTAGGAACCAGCTGCACCTAAACAGAGAGTGAACGTGTGGTTCTTCAAGGATCTCCACCACACAGGGGAAAGATTCCGCTGGCCGCGACAGGACGTCCGTCAGACTGAGGGGCCTCAGAAAACTCATGTCTTTGTAGAGACTCGTCACGTCGATCACGTCCATCTCTAAGCTGGAAGGAAACGTCAGGACGCCGTTCCTTACTGTGTAAAAATGAAACAAAGAGAAAAGAGTCACTGTAATATTCAAGGGCTGTCGAAATGAACACTTTAATCACCTTAGTTAATTTGTCAAATCCATTAGAATAAAATTGTAACGCATTTTGATGCACAAGAACAATGAAGGGATGTTAACGATGCATCGTAGAGTACAATGAAGGGATGTTAACGATGCATCGTGAATCGATTGATAATCGACACCAATGCGTGACAATTTGCATCAGTTGAAATAATGAATCGCGCATCAAGGCGTAAGGATTAGGCTGCGGTATCTAAAAAAAATAAATCACTGGTCATACCATGACAGTAGGTGGCAGTATGTGGCTAAAAGCGTTGATTGTGACTTGCTATTAAACCCATAAGTCAGGTCCCTAAAAAAATTCTATCTGTGTTGTTTATTTTTTTCTGTTTTTTAAAGCAGGGTAACGGTTTCTGTCATAATTACTGTAATTTATTTGATAATAAAAGAAATAAAAAGACACTTTTCCTCACAGTTCATGATGGCCTGGACTTTGTATATCGGACTGAAGACAAACGACTGTCCACTCTTGGTGGCGGCGTTGCTGAAGTGGAACCTCCGACAGCACAGAGAGGCCGAGGACATGATTTCCTGCAGCGAAAAACTGTCCTGGCTCTCGCATTCGTAGAATTCTCCTCGGAAAGAGAGAGGGATTCGAACTTCAGCCGAGGTGCCCTCTCGTACACTGACATGGCAGCGGACCAGGTCGTCCTGTCCCTCTTGGTGCTCTATGGACAGGATGGTCAGAGGTCGTCCTGACCCGAGGGTGAAGTTGTTAAAGTCCATCTTGGAGCTGCTGGTGAAGGTGAAGGGGAGGCTGGAGTCCAGACCCAGGGGCCTCAGGCTCAGCAGCTCCTCTACGGAACCGTACGGCATCTTCTCCGGCACCACCGTGAAGCGGCCTGTGGACCAGACAGGTGTCAGTTGTCAAACAGAACACATTCTCACGGCGTAGCAGCAGCTGCTGCAGCTGTTCTCACCACTGAACCACCGACCTGTGTAGTTAATGGGGAGCTCGAACTTGTCCTCGCTGCCGACGTCTTCACAGCTGACGGACTGCAGCTCAATCCCCACGACCTTGATCAGATCCCCGGTGGAGAAGCAGACCTCACTCCCAGAGAGTTCATACACAGATCCTGAAAGAGAAAACAAAAGTAATAAAAAAACAAGAGGAACTAAAAGACGAAGTCACAGTCATTTCAGATATGGAATAGAAAAAAGGTTTCTGGTATATTTGACACTGGTACAAAATACATATATACATATATACTACAGATTCTACAGTACAGATATTAGGTACAAATGCAGTACTCAGTTACAGCCCTAACATATAAATATATATATATGTATATATATATATATACATAAACACATATATGTTTACTTCTACACATATATACAGACATATAGATTATATAGATTAGATATAGATAAAGTTGAATGTAATTGATTTACATGTAGATAAGCAGAACACAGATGAGGTTCTTATCAGTCCGTCGAAACCATAATCTCTGTTTATATCAGTGCTAACTGAGTCAAAAAAAAAAAAATCAATTTTAAAAGAAAACAAAAATCTAATCTTTTACCTTGGAAATACACTCCCGAGACCACCTGCAGAATCCTCGGCAGACATTGTTTCTCCAGCGAGGCTATGAGACTCTGCAGGGGCAGAGCAGCGGCGTCTGCCATGATGGAGGTCTGATGGAGGTCTGAGCTGAGGCTCAGAGATGAAGATGACACGTTCACAGGAGCAGAGCGCCTCTAACACAAAACCACAAGAGTGTGAATGAGGAAGTCAGCACAGAGGCATTTCTGCTGTTTCGACACAAGACTGCCAGGTTGACACAGGTCACGACTAGAAACGAAAATGATAAGATTAACAGACGATAAATCGGACCAGGAGAACAAAATAAAAAAGAAACTGTAGATCTTGTGTTTGACCACCGTCAGACTGAGTCGACATCACATCACCAACAGATGTCACGACACTTGGTTGAGGACCATATAAGGAAGTGATCTGAGCTTCATCTGAAAAAGTCTAATTTGCTGTGTTGAAAAAAAAAAGTCATTATTGAATTATATTCATCTCGGTGCTGACCAGAGTCCAAATACCAACAAGTGTCCACGTACCATGGATTGAGAACCACACCATCCTAACCTACTATATCACCATCATATGGTCATGGTCAAAAACATGAATATCTCTACAGTGGAGAGCGAATGGAAACATCACAGGTTTTATACCAGAGGTCTCTGGTCTGAACCCACTGAAGACCCTGGTGTTAGACGTACGACCTCAGACAGGAAGTAGTAAAACAAAATACATCCCACATGTAGAGTGTGAATGGTTGTCTACTGATGTCGACAGACCGCATCTTGACCACCTGTCCAAGATGTGAAACCCCCCCCCCCCCCCCCCCCCCCCCCCCCCCCCCCCCCCCCCCCCCCCCCCCCCCCCCCCCCCCCCCCCCCCCCCCCCCCCCCCCCCCCCCCCCC